ACACAAGGCCTTCCTGCTCAGCACCCAAATTTTCCACTGTCCAACCAAAAAGTTTAGCCTTACCCTAGAAAGTAAATGGTACTCAGCTTCCTCAATTATTATAGCTACATAGCTTAAAATTAATCATAACCTTTTCTCCCCTAAGGTATAACTTCAAGTCACAACAAGATCAAAAAGAGAAAACTGAGCCATATCTTCCATTATGAAAAAAAGAAAACACAAAAAACCAACAACAAACACCAGGCTTGTGTGTTGGGCAGACTGAACATAAATTATGCTCAGACTCACATGCTAGAAAAGGACTAAAGATAGACATGAAAGGCCAAAGCTAGAGATGACAGTGATAGGAACAGTCCAGAAGTTCCTTCCTTACTCTGTCCTGCTCCTAAACAGGTTCTATCAGAATAAATTCCAATCAATCAATCAACATTTATTAAGCGCCTACAATGTTCTAAGCACTGTGATAAGTGCCAGGCATACAAAAGAGGCAAAAGACAGTTCTTGACCTCAAGGAGTTTACAATCTAATAGGGAAGACAATATGCAATATATATATAATGTATATATAAATATATTATAAATTATATATCATGTATTGTAAATTATATTATATAAATTGTACATATATATAAATATATAAAAATATACACACAGAGCAAACTAAATACAAGATAGGAAATAACAGAGGAGAGGTACTGGAATTAAGAGAGGTTGGGTAAGGCTTTCTGTAGATGCCCTTCTCCCATGATCTGCCTTAAAATGAATAATGCTTTTTTCTATTGTTTCCCATTTAAATGGGGCAGCTAGATGGCACAGTAGGTACAGTGCTGGGCCTGGAGTCAGGAAACCCTGAGTTCAAGTTCAGCCTCAGATACTTACTAGCTGTGTGACCCTGGGCAAATCACTTAACCCTGTTTGCCTCAGTTTTCTCATCTGTAAAAATGAGCTGGAGAAGGAAATGGCAAACCATTTACTCTGTATCTTTGCCAGGAAAATACCAAATGGGGTCACAAAGAGTTGGACAGAACTGAAACAACTGAACGACAACAACTACCATGTGAAGTAGACATTGAACTCTTCTCCAAGTAGCTGCTTCAATAACTGAAAGACAAGTCTCAAAATCGCAGCTGGACCATCTCAGAGGCAGCAAGAGGGCATACACACACCAGTCTGAGGCAGGAGGGAAGTAGGAGTATGGAGACAAGCCAATGTGTAGGCTAGAGTTTCTTGGTAAAACCATTAAGAGGAAAGAGGATTAGTTCCCTGTTTTCTTGTATCCCATGGCAACTATTATAGAGAGAGACCTACTATATTTAAACATATAAAAAAAGCCATTGCGTTTTCAAAGAGAACATACAGAAGAGCTATAATACGTCATAACAGAAATACCAGCAGGACATTTTGGAACTTCCATTTATGATATGCTAATGTCCTTCATCAGTTAGGCTCATAACAAAACCAATGAGTATGGTAATGGTCCATTAATGCACCCCCTGGAGCGTCTTCCTGCTCACCTAATGGGAAATAGGTCTTGTTGAATTTCTCCAGCTTAGAGAAAGATTATAGTTTTTCCTCATATCTTATTTTTGTAAATTCTTCTTTAAGGCCCATTAAGTATATCTTATGCAATCTTAAAGTAAACTTGCTTTATATAGGGACTGGATCAAACAGATTTTTCTCCGGAACCTACAGTCTTATAACACTGATACCAGGAAAGATCCAAAAATTCAGAAATATATTTTAACCTTCCTAGTCTGATTATGTGAATTTATGTAGCATGCAAAGGAGAGAGAATATGAGAATGAAAGAGAAAACTTTACAGAACAAAGGCTCTGTTCAACAAAGGCAGTTTTACATGGCTTATGTGTACATATTAATACAAATATCTGGCTACTCAACATATGGTTATAGGTCCCCTTCAATTAGATGGATGGAGAGATTCTTGGGATGTGAGGATTGTATAAGCTTGGTTTAAAATTTATGATTAAATGAAGTTGATATCACAAATGGGTTTTCACATCAGGATTTTTCGCATCAGGATTAAATCCCATCCTGAAATTATCTGAGAAAAATATAAAATTGAAGAATACTATATCAGAATTGTGAATTACAACTAGATCTCAGATTAGTGTGACTAATGAATCCCCTAAAGTGGTCACATTAATCAAATTTTTACTGCATTTTTCCATTAGGTTGGAACCAATCACCATACTTTACATAATTATATATTCAAATTGTACAAATACGATGTGACCACTTCAGGAGATTGAATTCATTCTTCCTACTAATTGGGACACAGCTTTTACATGCTAAAGCAGTGCCTTCTCAGAACAAATGCATGCAAAGGTTATATGGCTTCCTTCCTTAATCAAACTTTAAACTTCATTATGGTATCTCACAGATCAGGATGTTTTCTCATAGTTTGCCTAAATGTTTTCTCACTCAGTTCCAGGCTCTACTTCTAATAACTCAGTATCAGACAGCCAGAGCTGCAAAGGACCCTCATTAGAAGCCATCTAATCCAACTCTCTCATTTTAGAGATGAGGGAACTGAGGCCAAGAGAGGTCAAGTGATTTGCCCAAGGTTAATAAGTCTCAGAGGTAAGATTTGATCCTTATATCCCCTCTAATACAAGAGCGAATGAACTCCTTCTATGATGACATACTGCAACCAAAGTCAGTCTGTTGCATAAAACTAAATAATTATTTTTTTGATATTTTATTTCTATATATACACACATACATGAATGTATATGTGTATATATAATTTTCAATTTCTCAAAAAAACAAATTTAAGAAAATTTCATTTATTCTCTAAAAACAGTTACGTCCAAACCTCTATTTACTCCTTTTATTCTCCCCTAAACTTCTTCCATGTGGTCTGTACAGTTACAGTAATGAAACTTCCCATGGTGGGTAAAGCATACTCAAGTACAAGCTCACAAGAATTATTTCCTCTACTCCATGACCTCCCTGCTCATTTCTTTGATGTATGTTTACATGAGGCAGCTGGTATATACACATTTAGAGTTTAAATATAATCTTGATCTTCCTGCTGGCCAATCATTCATTCATCATCACTTTGAACAGAGCCCAAAAAGGGACCTTTAGCCACTGACAATCTGCGTCATTGTGTCTCCTATAGAATGATTCTTTGTGTACTCTGATAGCTTTCAGATTCATCCTAGTTTAAGATTCATTATCCTGCAATTCACAGTGTATTCAAGATTAAGATGCAATCTTCATTATAGACTACTGCAGTATTTTTTAAAACTGTGGGTCATGACCCCATATGGGTCACAAAAAATTTGGCAACAGTAAAAGGTTTCTGAATAAGCAAGGAGTAAAAATTAATTAAAAATCAAACACTTAATGAATCCGAAGTGTTTCTAGCAGCGCTTGCCCATGTTACACTGCACAACTTCACTGCAGCCTTGGCTCTAAACACAAAGTATACTCGCACTTTGCACTGCGAATGCCATCATGCCATGCAATGCCAACGAACGCTGCTGAAAATCAAAAAGGGGGAAAATGGGGATCCTGAGTGAAAAAAGTTTAAGAAGCCCTGGACTAGACCAACTAATAACTAGCGAAAAGCAAGTCACTGATAGAGGAGATGGGATTGAAGAAAGGCAGAGCCCAAGAAAGAGCTATTAAAAACTGTTATCAAAGAAGTGAGATTTCAAAAACCTGCACACCATTCCTCTATTCCAAACTGGTAGTGATCACATCCTCATCTGGAGTTACTGAAAATTATTTGTACTTTTTTGGGGGGCCGGATTAGGCTCCCCAAAGTAATTTCATCAGTGTAAGGAAATAACAGTATAGAAACTCCTTCTACCAATGCTATAACCCATGTCTTAGGCTTAGAGGACTGGGAGGTTAAAGAACTTGCCCAAAATAGTACGTGTGAGAAGCCATTATACGCGGGTAGCTAAGGTGGCACCAGGAATCCTGTCTCATATATTTTCATGTGACCCTGGGCAAGTTACTTTACTTCTGTCTGCCTCAGTTTCCTAACCTGTAAAATGAGGATAATATTTTATACCTCCCAGGTTTGTGAGGATCAAGTGAGAGATATTTGTAAAGTGCTTTTACAAATCTTAAAAGCTATATAAATGTTAGCTATTATTATCATTATTATTAAGCAGGACTTTAACCCAGGTCCCTGACTCTAGGGCCAGTCCTCTATCCACCAAGTCATGTGCCCTTAATTTATATTATCAAAGTTTGAATTTGGATTTTAGATATTTATATGCACATCTTATATCTCCTCATAGACTGTAAGCTCCTTGAGGTTAGAAGCCATGTCTCATCTTCATACATTCCCTGGCACGTAGTATTGAGGATGGCACCGAATGCTGAATGATTCTCACTCCTCTCCTATCCCCTCTGTAATCAATTGTTTCCATTTGGATGACTACTTTTACTTCCTTATTGTCTCAAGTTGTACTTAAGATGTGTTTTCTTTCTCTTTAAAAATACTAAAGAAGTTATCCCCAAACCAATTATTATTTAGCCTTCTAGAATTTAAACACACTTTTAAAAAGACCCCTTACCCTATGTTCACTTAGTAAATTTGACTAGCACTGACAGTAGTCTAGGTCAAATGTCAACCACTCCTGAGTGCCCCAACCAGATTAAAATGTAACTGGGAAATGTTTAAGAAAATAAATACAAATACAACAGAGAGAATGTATTTTGTGATTTTCTACACCAGTATGGGGCAACAGGGATCCGTTCCTATTTGAGTTTGCCACCATTGGTTTAGGGCATCTTTAGCAATGAAAATACCTTCACCAAGAAGGGTGTATGGAAGAAATGCCAATGATTAGATGGTAAGAGTCTGAATGAGTCAGTGTTTTAATAAATATTTTTAAATAAATGTTTCTTTCTAGATTGCCTGGAAGGCAGGCTCACTGCTATGCAATTAGAAGTCAGAAAGCCCAAATAAAGAATAACAGCATAGAAAGAGGGAATATTGCCCTTGTCTATCCATACCTCTGATTCCTGTAGGGTACCACGATTTAAGCACACCATGTCAGGGCAAGTGATGGGAGATCCACATCCTTCTCGAATTGCCAGCTGTGTATATTGTGTCAGGCACTAGAAATGGACAGAAAAAAAATCAAGCCACTGAAATAACACATTCTAAGAGCACAGAAGCTGCTGAAGAGAACCATCATTACAATCATCTGTTTCCTTACTTGGCAGTTCTGGGGATCAAATCCTCAGAAAACAAGTGTGAATACTAGGAATGACAACTTTGGATAGAATGCATAGAAGAGCAATTAATTATACATAACTTCATCCTTAAGGTATTAAGTTTGTCCAAGGCCACTAGTAAAAACTTTACATGCTAACACAGGCTGCGTAAAGGAAGACCTCTCCTTCACTCTAATGGGAAAAAAGAGCAACAAAATTCTCTTCTGAACTTTAGTTAGGTGGCACAGTGAATAGAAAGCGTGGGGTTAGGAAGATATGAGTTCAAATACAGCCTCAGACACTTCCTAGCTGTGTGATCCTGGGCAAGTCTCATAACCTTGGTTTGCCTCAGTTTCCTCAATTATAAAAAATGGGGATAATAACAGCACCTACCTCCCAAGGTTGTTCTGAGGACCAACCGAATTAATAATTATAAAGTGCTTAGCACAGTGCTTGGCACATAGTGACTGTTATTATGAATGCTTATTCCACTTAAACATATTCCTAATTCAGCTGTTTATCCAACAGCCCTCTCCATACCTGGGTTGCCTAGAACCAGAACAAAGAACATTGCACTGCTCAGTGAAGGTTAGCCTTAAACAAAGGCAAAATTGGCAGTCACATAAGTATTGTGATTTGAGAAGCACTGAAAAGGGCACTTGAGGGGCAGATAGGTGGTGCAGTGGATAGAGCACTGGCCCTGAAGTCAAGAGTACCTGAGTTCAAATCCAGCCTCAGACCAAACACTTGACACTTACTAGCTGTGTGACCCGGGACAAGTCACTTAACCCCAACTGCCTAAAAAAAGTAAAACAAAAAACTTTAGGGAAAAAAAGGCACTTGGTCAAAAATCTCTCTTCCCATCCACTTGACATAGGTAGCTGAAATTTACTCTTGGAGGTTCAGTCCTTGAAACTGGAACACTGCCATCTCTTAAGTGTCCTTAATTTTATTCAAAGAACACTTATTAAGTGCCTATTACATGCAAATATCCCAGAGAAGATAACCCATGAATCTATAATCAATCATTAACACCTCAGATTAAATCAGTTTATAGAACTGCTTTCTTTCTTGACAGTTAACTGAAGATGTGAAAAAATTTTGATAGGAAAACTGTATGTATTGAGATAAAGGTAAGAGCAGCATGAGGAAGAGGTAGGGTAATTTTGAGGCATGGGACACTAGCTAAGACATGCCCAGGTAAGTTACCACACCGGGCAGCATGAGGCTACAGGTTGTCTGGGTGGAAGGGTACTATAACAGGGAAGGGAAAAGGAGTGTGGGAGGATGCCAGTCATGTTGCAATTTTACATAGGCTTAGCTTGGACCTCAGTAGTGTTGTTTAAATTGTAGAAGGGGAAACCTGATATTACAAAGACTACTAACTCCCCCCACCTTCCAACAAGTATCAAACAAGAAATTCAAGGAAGCAATTTAAGTAAAAAAAAAAAAGTCAGCATTCCAAAAGCAGTTGCCTACTTTTGACCAACAAGTGTCTAAAACAAATCCACCATTTGATTATTTTCCCAAACAAGTAATGAAGAACCTAAGTCTTCACTATTTCAGTGGATCTACAGATTCGATGAAGAAGCTAGGCGGCACAGTAGATAGGGTGCTAGGCCTGGAGTTAGGAAGACTAATCTTCCTGAGTTCAAATCTTGCCTCAGACACTTACTAGCTATCTGACCCTGGGCAAGTCACTTAACTCTGTTTGCCTCAGTTTCCTCATCTATAAAACGAGCTGGAGAAGCAAACCACTCCAGTATCTTTGCCAAGAAACCCCAAATGGGGTCACGAAGAGGCAAACGTGACTGAAAAAGACTGAAGAACCACAGATTTGATAAGCATGGCTATCTTCTCTGCCAGTACAGATCACAACGTAATCATGCCATCTCAGCCTCTATAATTCTTGTCCATCTTCTCCCATAAAGGATTTACCCAATATGAATACCAGCGCAGCCCCAGGATGGTCTACCTATTTTCTCTTTTCTTTCTCCAGAGCAATCCACCTCTTTATCTATTTAGCCAGAGGGCAGAACAAGGATGAATAGGTAGAAATTATAGGAAGGCAGATTTCATCTCAACATAATAATTTTTTTCTTTAACAAGACACTGGAAAGGTAGCAGGGTTCAGTGCTTCAGTATCAGGAACATTTAGGTTCATGAAATTGCTCCTCCGTTTCACATTGGCTTTGCAATGCAGGACAAATCACTAAATCTCTCAGAGCCCTAGGGAGATGGAATTCCCTCATAAACCACTCCCTGTACTCATGAAATGATTGATTGAGTACAGCAATAACAAAATATGTTCCAAAGTAAAATGGCTTTCCTGGTAGGCACTGAGATCCCAACCCCGAGAAGTCTTTAAGCTGGGGCCAAATAACTTTCTTGTTGGGGACAGTAGACTGTATGTGTGATATGGGAAAATCTGAGGTGACTTGCAACTGAAATTTTATTCTATTGCTCCATGGTAACAATCTAAAAATTAACATCTGCTTTTAAGCTCCTAAGAAAAGTCTAGGGGCAGCTAGGTGGCAAAGTGGATAGAGCACTGGCCCTGGAGTCAGGAGGACCAGAGTTCAAATCCAGCCTCAGACACATAACGCTTACTAGCTGTGTGACCCTGAGCAAGTCACTTAACCCCATTGCCTAGCAAAGAAAAAAGAAAAGAAAAGTATGAGTGGTAGTTGAGCTCCTTGATGGCAGAGACTGTTTTGTTTTCATATTTGGGTCCCCAGTACCTAGCACAGTATTTGGAATACAGTGAATATTTCATAAATGTTTGCTACCTTGCTAAATAAATGATACCCATTTCCCCCCCCCAATTCTAGTGTAAATCTTAGGTAATAATCCATAAACAGGACATCCTAGCTCTACTACATTCTGAGAAAAAGAAATGTATTTTCCTTGGGATTAGCCTAAAAATACCTCCAACCCCAGGAAAGCTTACTGTGGGAAGCTTTTTGTGAATAAACAGGCTATTTATGAGGGAAATTATATCCTGCTCTCACCATAGTATTAAGGCTATCTATATTATAAGCCATGCCATATATAGAAAGCTATCCCTTTGCATTTGCCAGATCAATCAAAATAAAGTGTCAGGTGGGTCCTACTCGCTTTCAGAGAAACATTAATGCCACCAGCTCTGATTTTGTTTAAGCAAGATAATCAAACCCTTGTCCAATTATGAACTAGTTATGCTGCCTTTCAACTGACTAAAATCAAATTCTCAAAACCTGTAGGCCCATTACTTTCTTTATTTTGATCAGTGAAGTCAGGCATTTGAGGACAGAACCAGAGACCCTGTCCTGGATGTTTTAACTCTGTTATCTCCCAGACTTTGGGTCAGGGGTGCTACTGTCATGATTGGTGGATGCTTTACCTGGCCACTTCAGGCTTCACTTTACTCCCTATGCCCCTTCCCTCACCCCAATCTTCAAATCAGGCCATTCTACTCCCCAGGGGCCCAACTCCCAGTAATTTTACTAGTTTTCCAAAAAAGGGGGAAGGCGGATCTTCAGGGATATACTCTGCTACGTGTGTTATCTGACCTTATTAGTAAGGCTTTCTGAGAAGGGTGAGAGCACTTATGGAACAACTTTTAAAAATTAAATAAAAGATTACAATGATGAAAAAAGTGGGCAGTATCTGGAGACCTCTATGGCTATAGAGTGAAATTCAGATTAAAAACAAGGTGAGGAAATTAAGCAAAACTAAGTAACTGAGAAGAAATCATCAAAAATAATAGAAGAGAGCTGGCCATAAGAACACGCAGCAAGCGTGACAAAGAATCTCTCTTTCAGCTAGTATAAAGCCCACGAGGGAGTTTTTCACTGATCTTCACAGAATGAAGGCAGCTAGGTGGCACAGTGTACAGACTGACAGGCCTGGAGTCAGGAAAACCTAAGTTCAAATCCAGCCTCAGACACTTCCTAGCTGTGTGACCGTGGACAAGTCACATAACCCTGTTTGCCTCCATTTCCTCATCTGTAAAATGAGTTGGAGAAGGAAATGGCAAACCATTCCAGTATCTCTGCCAAGAAAACCTCCAAAGGTGTCACAGAGTCAGACATCACTGAAAATGATTAAACAACGACAACAAAATACTATGGAAGATGAATTAGATTTATTCTGTCCAGTAAAAACTAGGTCCAAAAGGCAGAAGTTACAAGGAGGCAGATCTTGGCTTGTAAGAAATACTTCCTAACCTAAAGCCTCCAAAAGGGGACTCAGCTATCTTGGGAGGTAGAAGTGCTCATCACTAGAGGTATTAATGACCCCTTGCACACAGTGACTCTAATAAATGCTCACTGAATTGAACCACATCCTTCATCAGGGATATTGCAGATAGGACATATGTTTCAGATGGGATTAAACTAGATAAACTCAGAGGTTCATCCAACTCTACAAATTGATATTTTTGGGAACGGAATATTTAATACAAACATTTTAAGAGCACCAAGTGGGCTGACCCTCTGGGGACATCACTTGGGAGTCCCAGAAGAAGGCACTGACTGGTTCTGAGATTCTGCTATTAGCTCTACTATTCAGAAGGGGAGCAAATGTGAGACAACAGGAAGAAGGCAGCAGTGGCCCAGGAAGTAAGGAACAAAGGTCAAGTACAAAATAAGCAGAAGTAGCAAAGAGAAATAAGAGGAACAGAAGAAGTTTAAAAAAAAAAAAACCACCACCCACTGGTGCAGGATTCCACTGGCTACAACCCCAAAGTAGGACAACACCCTAGCACCGTCCTGATCCCTGTCATGACCCCAATCTTTCCTCCTGCCACTGATATGGCAGTATCTGGTTTCTATGCAGGCTGTGACTGAGATGACCTTGAATTTGGGGAGTTCTCCAGTCCTGGGTCTGACTGAAGAGAGGGTGTGTAGGAGAAAAGAAGA